CCAACAAGGCATAAAAACATGGAAACACAACAAGTATTCATCAATAAAATCATAAAATATAATAATAACAACATAAGAAGCATATGGAAATCAACTATAGTAATCCATATAATTTGACCATCCCTTAAACACCATTACCTCATGTAAAACAACCTTAAAGAATGGCCTAGGTGTATATCAACATAGCATGACACATACATAACTTGGCAACCCCATAGCACATGTTATACTAACCCTAAAGCAATATGATATAACCCAATATGACCCCTACACAGCCCGATCTCAAAAAACAATAATCCAATAAAACCATATAATACATAAAATCATGTCTCATGTTTATACAACACGTAGAAACCCAAAAACTCTAAACCCATTCATAATAAATTACAAATATAAGCATGAACATAATTCAACAAAACACATGCAACACAATAACATTTGGTTAAAACAATTAAGATGACTCACACGATACATACAATCACCTTCACGACACACACAACAAACAAAAGGGCCTTGAACTCACACATGAATCATACCATCACCTCTTGACCAATTTCTCTACTTGGACCAGTGTGTTCCAAACTAATAAATAGCACAAAAACAACTATATAATCCCTCTTTAACTCTTTTGATAATTCCCCAACATCATAAAAAAATAACAATCACTTATATCATATACATACATTCACTGAACACATTTAAATTATGATAAATTCATACAATTATTATTTCTAAATATTCTTAAATTTTCCAAATCTTACTATGCTTCACGCTAATAAAAAGAATATCTAATTACTTATGTTGGAAAAACATTTTCTAATAATGATTTAAATAATGTTAGAGTTATTTAATTTATAAAGACTAATATACACCTCTTGTTTCTTCTTTTATAAGATTTCTTTTTTATTCAAGTAAAATATTATTTTTTTTTTATCTTCTCAAATTCCTACCAAATTTTATCATTTTTATTAAGATGAGTAAAAGTTGTAGGGATTTATAAAATATAATAATGGATATTATGTAAGTATTGAGTAAATACTTTCTATTAGAATATATTGTGTTCCTGTATATAAATGAGTAGGGCTGAGAGACACACCTTTCTGCTATCACCTTCCTTTCTTTCTTACTACTGAATCACTTGCACCAAGTTCTTCGAGTCCAAACCGAGCGGTGAGTACTTGCTTAAGAAACTCCGACACTCAAGTCAGATTTTAATCAATGAACTTAATTCACAATTAAGTATGAGAACTAATTAAGCTAACCTTACTTCTGTAGCTTACCCTTATATTTATAGGTATTTGATGGACCTTAAATTGATGTTGGCCCAATAACATAGATATTTCGTGGACCTTAAATTGATGTTGGCCCACTAACACTAATGTTCACGCTGGCCCAATTACAGCTCAACACTTACAGGCCTACTTTTGCCTGCTTAACTATTAATTTAAAGAATACACCGAACGACCATAAATATATACCGTTGGGTTAACATATCATGTTTGTCATCGGCGCTGACTTATTACTTAACTTACCGATCATATAAGATATTATACCATACATATTGTACTTTTAAACTTAAGATTAAAAATATTTAGTAATTGAGTATCTCTCCAAATACACTATCTTATATCAATATAACTAAATTTTTTAGATAATGATAATCATTTATTCGAGTATTATAAAAATTTAATCTAAATACTTGAATATTCCAATTCGAGGAGGTAAATTTAGTTTTTTTTATCTCATTTTCAATAATTAATAAAAATTACAAATCTAGTTCCTTACATAATGACAATATTTATAATATTTTTTTATTTGAGTATTATGAAAATTTACTCTAAATACCTAAATATCCTGGTTTGAGTTACTACAAATCTATTTTTTTATATTTCACACTTTCTATGACTAATCAAAATTACTACATTTAATACTAATAATAAAGTAAAATATTACAACTTTAAAATAAAAAGTATTTCTAGACAATAAAATCTAAAACTAAAATTATAAATTTAACAACAGTTTTAAAAACACTATTATTAAGTGTTTCAAATAAATGATTGAAATTTTCATTTCAAAAGTGCTAATTATTCTAATCACAAGTATAAACGATAAAATTTTCACTCTCCACTCCATAGTTCATAAATAACCTAAACTAATTAAACCAACATTAAATAAAAGGAGGGTGACAAAGTTCGTGTGAATGGTGATGCTTATAACCTACATAAACAGTTACCAATAGTAATTTAAGAGAAGATAAATAAAGACTATATTTATTTTTCTATTTTTCTCTAATTACTTATTTCCAACAATTATTTGCTTACCGGTGCATATAACTAGAGTGTTATAAAAGTCACAACTAGTTAACCACAACAACCACATTCATCATCCACATAATAGTACATATAACAAAAGAAAAATAACCAACCACAATTGTTGAACACTTATGCACAAGAAAATAAAAAACTATAATGAAGAGTCAATTGCAACATTTCTCCACCTTAACACTTCAATGCAGTTTGTACAACCACTCCCATGAAATCAAACATGACTAAAACCCACCATGCTTAAGCATTTTTCAAACTTATTTCTAGGTAACACTTTAGTTAACATATCTGCTGGATTGTTACTAGAGTCAATCTTCACTACTTCAATAACACCTGAATCAATCACATCGCTAATGAATTGTAGTTTAACATCAATATGCTTGGTCTTTGAATGATACATTTGATGGTTGGCTAGATGAATAGCACTTTGGCTATCACACAATATTTGTACACTATTCTGTTTGAATCCAAGTTCAAAGAGCATTTCCTTTAGCCATAAACCTTCTTTTACCCCTTCAACCAAAGTGTTATATTCTGCTTCTGTGGTGGACAAAGCTACAACAGATTGGAGATTTGCCTTCTAACTCACAACTGTTCCAAACAGAGTAAATACATAACTTGAGAGAGATTTTCTAGTATCAAGACATCCAGCATAGTCAGCATCAACAAAACCTTCAATGATGGATTTAAAATGAGTCTTTCTCTGATATAGAAGACTTGAGTTTAGAGATCCATTCACATATCTGAGAATCACTTCAGAGCTTCCCAGTGAGCATGTGCAGATTTTATTGTTCCCAAGGAGCATTTTTCCACATTCCTTCAAAACAATATTCTCAAAATAATCTTTGATTGAACACATATGATACGTGCAACCGGAATTCATAACCCAACTTTTATGGGAATCATCGGATGAAGCCACCAAAACTCCAGTAGATTCATAGCCAGATTCATAGTCATCTGAAGCCTCTACAACATCAACAATTTCTTTCACCCGAGAGTCTTGGTCATTATTCTCAGGACAATACTTCTTAATATGACCAATTTTCTAACATTTGAAACATCGAACCTGCTTCTTGATTTCTTACTTAACCTTGCCTGATTTTCCTTCTCTCTTCTTCCACTTTATCCTTGATACTACAAGCCCAGAAGATATTTCTTCCATATTCTTGGAATCTTGAAGTTTCTGAAATTCCTTAGTTCGGATGGAAGTGATGACTTCTTCCAAAGTAATCACTTGATCTTTCTCATACAGTAAGGCATCTCTAAAATGCTCGAAGGTTTTAGGCAAAACATTTAGAAGAATCACAACTTTATCTTCATCTTCAAGTTTTACCCTGATATTCTCAAGATCATCAATGATCTCGTTAAAATCAGAAATCTATATGTTCTTCAATGGATCTCGACTCCATAATCTTGAACGAGTAAAGTTGTTGTTTCAAGCACAATTTATGAGCTAATGATCTCTAGTCATGTATAATGACTTCAATCTTGCACATATGCTTGCTGCACCTTTTTCCTTGGCAACCTCTCTAAGAGCCTTGTCGCCCAACATAAGATAATGGCACTTTTGGCCTTATCAATCATGTTCTTCTTCTCCGCTTGTGATAAGACTAGTGACATACTTGCTCCACCCTTCAATCTTCATCACAACCTTGCTAAATTAAGATAGCTTCCATCTTGATCTTCCATAACCCAAAATCATTTGATTCATTGAACTTCTCAATATCAAATTTTGTTGCCATTGTTTCTTGGTGAATAAAACAATCTTTGTCTTATTTATATCCCCACAGATGGCGCCACTTGTTGGTTCAAACAAGTATAAACAAGATATACAAAATAGAGAGAATAAAGAAAAGCATAATACTATCTATTATTCTGTTAACCACAACAACCACATTCATCATCACATAACAGTAAACATAACAAAAGAAAAATAATCAATCATAACAATTATGAACAGTTTATGCACAAGAAAATAAAAAACTGTAATGACTAGTCAACTGCAACAGTATTGATACTATGTTATTGTTACTTAAAAAACTAGTACCTAAAGTGAGTTCATTTTTTAAAAAAAATTACATCATCAACACAAATTTTGACTTAAAAATTAGGACTACCTTATTTTAGGATCTGACACGGATAGTTAAAGTAAGTGAATTATAGAAAATAAACTAATACCATAACATTATATTATACATGTACTTGTTTATAATTTCAATTTTTTTTAGGTTATTTTCAAAGTTGTTTAAAATAAAAAAAAATTACCAAGTTAAAAATTTGATAATATACTTATTTTTTTATAAATTAATTTTTTTTGTTAATTAAATAATTCCACCATATTCACATATTTAATTTAATTTTACCATTTACTTATCACATTTCAAAGGCGTTTTGGTTGGAAAAAAAAAACAATGCACAAAGTAAATATTCATTGGAAAAGAAAAAATCTAAAGACAAGATTAAAGGTTAACGAAAATAAAAAATAAATGTGAATAGATTAGTTAAAATGTTAATAATCTCACTTAAAAGTTATTAAAAAGTAAAATGTATTTTTATGAAATATGTGATTTTTTAAATTTCTTAAATAAAAAAAGTAGCCAGCCCAAATTAGGTCGAAGGCCCATGTAACAGTAACCAAAACGAAGGGAAACCCTACTTAGACTCTGCCAACATTATATATTCAATTGTCATCCTTGTCAAAACCCTAGTTTTGTATCTCTTATACTTCGCAAGCAGCAGGAGCTTCTAATCGATCCAGCAATGGCTGCTATGGATACCGGTGTTCAGGGCTGCATCTTATCCGTTTTGATTCTCCACGACGAGGAAATCTCAGTCACCGTGAGTTTACTATTTTCTTTTAACCCTTCTTCCATTATAATTCTTCCTCAATCGTAGATCTCAATTTCTGTGTTCCTTTTCTAGGCCGAGAAGATCAACGCTTTGTTGAAGGCTGCCAATGTCTCCGTCGAGTCCTACTGGCCAAGCCTCTTCGCCAAGCTCGCTCAGAATAAGAACATCGAAGACCTTATCTTGAACGCCGGTTCAGGCGGAGGTGCCGCCGTTGCCGTTGCCGCTCCCGCCGCCGGTGGTGCTGGTGCCGGTGCCGCAGCACCCGCCGCTGAGGAAAAGAAGGTAAAATGTCGTGAATATGTTGTTTAACGTGTGTTGCTAGCGAATGGTTAATTGTGTTCCGGTGACGGAACAATGTTGAAAATGGTTTGAGGTTATTGATGTCATAGTGATGTGTAATGTTAGATACAGTTTGAAAAGTCAGCACTCGATTGTATATACCATTGCGAGGCAAACTGAGTGACTTGGTCAAATTGTCTAGGAGAGGAATAATTGCATATTTGTGAATTATATTTTCTAACTTGAAAATTAGCAATTAGAGGCGAATGATATTTTGCTTCATAGAAATAACCGGCAAGCTTCAAACATAAAAAGCAGCTGCGACACGATTAAAAGAGTTGTGTTGTGGGTCATAGTCGGCCTAGTTTTGTTGGGTATTCTCTATTTTATTTTATATTCTTGAGTGGTTCTCGTTGAATTTTGTGTTTGGCCTTGATAGCAGATCCAGTTAGACATTGCATAATTTTTCTGGAACTTGTGATTGGTTTTTCTGTATCTGTGTAAGGGATTTGTTGTAACATCTTATCATTCTTGGGAAAATATGATGAAAGCTAGCCATTATATTGGAATGAGGTTTGATTTTATTTTTGAGGCAATGATAATCAGTGTTTTTCTTGTTTTTCAAAAACTTGTTTTGTACATAATGAATGGTCAAAATATGTAAGGCTCGTTTTGAATTTGCTTTATATAATATTATATTCGGCTATTGAGTTAGTTGGAAAGCTTACATGCATTGCTCGGACATTTCACAGCTCTTGAATTTTTAGTGTTGGCAGTATGCACTGCGGACATTTGATGCCATTTTGTTCTTGTGCCGTGATTATTATTCATCTTGCCCTTGTATTCATTATTTATTCAAGGTTGCTTTCAATTTGTGTTTACAGGAAGAAGTGAAGGAAGAAAGCGACGACGATATGGGATTCGGTTTGTTTGATTAGGTCTTCTTTAGATAGTTTGTAGCCAGTTTTTGAATTTAAAACGTGTTTTGTTCTATAAAATTTTTATTGGAGAGATTCTTGGCCGTGATTTTTAGTGGGTTTTTAATATATCTGTTGCAATTACATTTCTGATCAACCTATTTATTTTCTTGTTCTAGTTTTCGTTATTTATTGCATGTTGAAAGATTTCAGGTGGTTTCTACCGAATAACTGTTATAAAATAAATATCGGTCTAGTTTTTACCCGTGTCGTCTCAATGGAATTATTACTGCTTTGAAATTTAGTCCGCGTTGTTTGATATAAATGTTTAACAAAACCCTATATACGTGAGGGCAATATCCCATTCCAAGAGTCTTTATTGTTGGCCAGATGAATAGAAAGTAATTTTATCAATCGATAGCGAGCACTTCATTTTTTTTCCTCCAATGTTATTCGACATTAATGTGCTTTTCTCAAAATTTTGTAGTTTCAATTTTTACTTTACACCTTATAAGAAAATATGGTATCTATTGGATAAAAGTGTAGTAAGATGACTTTGATAGACTAGTATGATTGAAATAATAAATTATAAGAACAGGCTGATGTAATTTTTAATAAAGTGGGAATGGGATTTGTAAGAACAGGCCTTGTAGTTGTTCAATGGTTGATCAAGACTTGTATCATGTGTATCCTTATATATAAATGGGGCTTCCGTGGGGAGTTTAGTCATCCACTACTTGATGCTTTCAACTACTTCCAATGGACTAATTTTTGGGTGAAATTCAGTTAAGGAAGTTTTCCAAAGTTTGTATTTAGGGAAGTTTTCCAAATGTTTGATTTTTTTTTTCTAAAATGTTCCTGAAACCAAAGTCGGGGTAAAGCTTTTTGTAAAACTAAAATTGAAAATGGGACAAAGCTTTCAGGTTTCAGTATTCCATAAAACAATTGAAATTATTGTCTCGTTTCTTAACCTGTAATTTATAATGAAATGTTTCTAACGAATAATCTATAATTGTTAATTATCAATTTTGAGTTGTATATTTTAAATTTTTTATTCTTAATTTCCTCCCTTCATGCTTAGAGGATATATAATTGGATTTTTTTAATATATCTTTCATAACATTAACATTGTTCACGAGTGATGATGATAAAGAAAACAAAACATTGTTCAGGAGTGGCTTGCAGTTTCTTTCTAAAGGGATATATACCGTGGATTAACATTGTATGTTTACTTTAAAATGAATACTTATTTTAACGAAGCAAATTTAAGTTTAAGTGAATGTTGTATATTTATGCTGCTAATTTGGCGAGTCTTCATAGAGAAATCTGATTAATGAATTACGTCTATTTTCAGTTATAAGATTTTTAATAAATGCCTCGTCTAATTCATTACCAATCCAATTTTATATAAGCTCTTGATGATTTAAAAAACAGTTTATTTATATATTTTTACTCTTTAATTTTCATCATTTAATAACTAATTTTTAATATTTTTGTTGTACCAATCATAGTTAGCATAAATATACTACTAAGTATATGTACGATGAATTTAAAACCTTTCAGTCATATCAAAAAAATAAGGTAAGTTAGCCAAACTATAATGTATCATCTAAAATATAAATCAGCACATTAAATATATCTTAATAAAAAATAAATATCTAACATAACACAAAACATGTTTGTATTAATACCAAATAAGACAATCCCAAACTAATTTAGTCTTGTAAGCTTTTTTAAAACATAGACATTTGATTTTATTTTTGAAAAACAAGATTTTGCACCTTTCATACTTTTCTCCTCCTACACAAAACAATACATGAATTATGACCAATGTCCTCTCTATTAGTATGACAAGATAAATTTCTTATACTTACCAAGTTCGATTATTTTTCATATTGAATCTTTAGATGGTAGAAACCTCCTTTAACTCTTCCGAGTGGATATATTTATTTTTGTGAGTTGGATTCTAGTATAATCAAGATAATATCATTAAATCACCATTTAATATACTCTAAACTTAACTTACTATATCACCTCCTCACTATAAGCTACCATACTCTCATTATCCACACAATTCATACATCACATACCTCATGTCAAACATTTATTTAAATAAGTATAAGTTCAAAAATATTTTAACTTTAATTTTCACACATTAAAACAATTAATCTCACTTAGTGCCTTCATTTTCCCACCTAACGAACTACCTTTGGAGCTGAGCTCGCTTAATGGGTAACATGTCTCCCCTAACAAAATCATACTATTAGAGCTCTTTGGAATTTTTAAAAATATTTTCACTTAGCAAAGATAATGACTCATTTAGGGGGTGAGTATTGAAACAATTTTTTTTAAAATTTGCCTTGTGAAACTCAAGCCCTCCCAAAAACCACACTCATCTTAAACTCACCAGACTTTTACAAAAGTTTTTCGTTTAGCGAGGGTCTCTCATATCCAACAAATAAGGTCATTGGGAGTTTGTTTCACATACTCATTCAGTGAGTTTAATTTGACCCAACGAGTAACACCACTCTTTCTCTTTGGAATTTTCAAAACCATTTCATCTGGCAAATAAAATACTCCCGTAGCTAGTCTGCATAATTATTTAGAGACAAATATATATGAGATCACCAAGTGAACCATTTGGGTAATTTTACTCATTTCTCATGTTAAAACACTTACATTCTGGTTAAAAAAAGGTCTTAGAGGGAGTCACTTGATCAAACTGATACATCAATTTTCAAATCACAAATCAATCCACATAATAAATCTCAATGCAAAACAATTACTTGACATTCAACATTTCTAAAAATCTTAATAAAACAAATGAGTTTTCATAACTATCCTACTCTCATTCAAATAATGAATTATAGTCCCAAAACAACAATTAAACAATTCAAATATAATTATAATTTACTATCTTTCCTTACCTTGTTATCGACTTTCTAGACTACAAGTGCTCCACAAAATTCAATGTTCACAGGTAATTCTAACTAGATAAAAAAAAACTCAGATAAATTATTTAAATATACTTCATAATCACAAAAAATAAAGATTCACTTTGAGCTACCTAAAGTCACACAATCCTTCAAGACATTACATGTATAAAACCAAAGATTGACCAAAGAAAAAGAAAACAAAATGTAAACTTACTCTAATAAGATGATTATGTTATCCTTTATATCAAAAGTCATAAGATTAACTTTGATCTTCAAATAAATAAAGGATGAAATCAGAAATATAGAAAGAATACATAAAAAGAATATACAATAAATAAATGTTTTGGAAAGATACTAGTTTTTATTAAATGAAACTAGATTAAAAAAATATTTATAACTTAACCTTCTAATAATAAAATAATTGAATGTTATATATGAAATCATTACTGCTCTTAAATTATTTTTTCAATTCTCGCCGAAAGAATTTATATACATTGAAAAAGAAAAAAATGAACAATATTTATTTTAAATTAAACAATAAAGTACTCCTTTAAATATTTGAACAAATCTTAATTTTTTTATTGATGTTAATATTATTTTAACGTTTTTTATTTTAAATTTTTGATATGTTAAAAAGAACTACTTTTCGTGATGTACTTGTTTATTTTGGTATGTAGGTAATATAGAAGAAACTAATTTAAGAAAGTACAAAGATGACACATGAATTAATGGTAAAACAAAAATATTATATATCTTCTTAGAAGTTTCTAGAAGTTTCATCACTTATATTATGTTTTCATCTATTCACTGTTCAAGTAGATGCATTTGAGATTATTTTGCATGAGTGAGTAATTTTTGTTCATGCATTGTGCTATACTAAAACGCCTTTCACTTGTTTTTTAAGTGTGGATGACACATTTAGACCTATGTGGTGGTGCCCTCTTCTCGTCGAGGATCTATTCTCGAACTATTTCTAGAGAAAGTAAAATAAATTTTTATCCATCTACATTCACAAAGAATCAATTCTTATCATTTGCGGAACGAGAATCGATTCTCTTATTTATGATTTTAGATAGGATTGGTTATCTACTCCTCACATTTGTTCAAGAATCAATTTTTGTGATTTTTTTTGTTTTAAAATCGATTTCAAAAACTTTTTTTTCAAAACTTTTTACTTTGGCATCTTTATTTCTTAAAATAAACAAGATCATATTTATGTAATGTTTCAATAGTTATGTTCTCATATACAATAAAGAAAACCGTGGAACCACTTTTCTTTTGGAATTTTGTTGCCACTATCGTATGACATTAAACTTGATTCATGAATTCAAGCATTATATTATGGAATTCGTTGTATAATTTATTAAGTTTCTCAAATTCATTATCATATGTCATGATGTTCATATTGATTCCTTTATTTTAAAACTATTCAATAACTCAATTTTTTTTTCTTATTTTAACAAAGCTGACTAGGATCGATGTAGATAACTCACCAAAATGAAACTTAATAAAAAAAAGGTTTAATACCTCTTTTGGTCCCTAGAAAGGGGGCAAAAGTTCAATGTGGTCCCACCTTTTTTTAGAAGTTCAATGTGATCCCACCTTTTGTAAAAAGTGTGCAATCAAGTCCTTTTTGCAAACGGCGTGAAGTTTTTAACGGAGCAGCTGACAGGGTGGACTGAGTATCATTACGTGGCTTTGTGTGGGTAAGACGTGGCAAAGAGAGGGTGATACGTGGCTGTGAGAGGGTCAATTTGGTAATATTAGTGAGGTTAGGAAATCAGAAATTAGGGTTCAGGAGTTTTAGAGAAATTGCTAATTTGTGATTGATCATCGTGGACGAAGTGCACATTCAGGATCTCAAGCGCGAATTGGAGACCACAAATCTGAAGCTCAAATTGGAAACCGCAAATCAGGTTAGGGTTTATGATATGTATTTGTTGTATATGTTATCACTGTTGTCGCTTTATAGGGGGATTAAGTAGGGGTGAAAAGTTGTCTTGTTTTGATGGTTCATAGTGGTCCCATAGATATTAGTTTAAC